AAGCTGTGTTTCTTCCTATCCAGTCATCCTTTATTGCCCACCCTTCACAGGTGTCAGAACTCCCACTTCATCGATAGGGTCTCCTTGCCTTCTCTAGTTTCCACTCTATCCTTCACAGGCCTTTCCCCTAAAAAATATGTTCTTTATTAACTTAGTAGAGTTGTGGTAAAAAGGAAAATCCCACAAATGAGGTGGCTTAAAAAGCTGAAATTTATTGTCGCATGTGTTTGGAGGTTTAAAGTCCAAACTTAATGTAGCGGCGTGGTTGGTTCATTCTGAGGACTGTGGGCAGAGGATCTCTTCTAGGCCTGTTCCTTGGCATGTACATGACTGCTTCATGCTCACATGATAATCAGCCCCTCTGCATGCCTGTCTGCGAATTTCCTTTCCTCTTTCTGTTTTTTGAGATAAGAACAGGAGTCATAATTGATTATGTCTAGTGCCCACCTTCATGACCCCAGTTTAACTCACTTCCGTCTGTAAAGACCTTATCTCTAATATCACATTCTGTTGACTCTAAACATAAATTTTGGAAGACACAGTTCTAACCATAACACAGCCTCATCCCCTGTGATGTCTGCTTCTTGAAGAACTTGAACTGGAAACTGATGGTTGTGCTACAGGAATGGAATTTGAAAATGAAAAAAATATTAGATTATTCAAAGGAATTTTTACTGTGCAGCAAATTTGGCTGAGTTTCCAAAAATTGTAGACACCTAAAATTATATTTCCTTACGTTGCTGTGGAAAAATAAAAACTAGTTTCAAATTCATCCTTGGTCACTAATTGGTGAAATTAATGCTTTGTCACTTATGCTAGGAATATTCAAGACCAAAATTCTATTCTGTGTGAGTAGTTTTATATTTATTTATTGAGATTTGCTCTACTTAGATATGTCTAACCACATAGGGTGTGTGTGGTGTGTGTGTTTAATATATTCCTCAGGCTAGTTTGAATGTGCTATAGAATAAATTAATTATGTTACATTATTGCATACTTAATACTTGCCCTATAAATGTTCCATTAAAAGAAAAAAAAGATGAATCAGGTGGAGACAGCAAGCTACATTGATTGGTATTCTCTCTCTCACAGAGTAGTAAAATGAAATGGAGTTTTATTCTGTTGTGTTTACTTTATGTGGCATCAAATATTTTTGCATAAAATTTTATCAAGCTTGCTTTAGCAGTTTTATTTTGATAGTATAACTTATGCATGTTATTGAAACAGAAATAGTTCTTACCAAACAGAACATAATGAAATTTTAAGAAATCTGCATCTACATTAAAACAGTTGTTTGGATCTCAACTTGAGTACCTAGAAGAAATCTAATCAGCAACATTTATCTGTGCATACCATGTTATGAGTGAATGTAATTCACTGCAAGTAACTGTTCAGCTTTTTTCTTTTGCCTTTTCAGGCTTCTATACTTTTGTCTCTGTGTTTTTAGATAAAGTTACTGCTTTTGTATCAGTAGCCAGCAAAATATGATTTCTTATTTCAATGCTTATGTATTAGGTCTTAGAGAAAAATGTGGATATTTCAATTATGTGTTTATAATACTGTGAAAATGTGGGCATCATGAAATTAGTGAAACATTTCTTTGTGAGAAAAATACAAACCTAAGCTGTTAAAATTGGATAGGTTTTAAAGCCCACTTTGTTGTTGAAAAATATTCACACTTGTGAAGAATCACTGCCCATAATATATATATCTTATTGTATTACATGTTTTTATGGCCACATAGCTATCATGATCACATAGCCATAGCTGCCTGTATCTTTGGACTGAGGAAAGACATGCTGGAAAAACTAGCATTTGAAATTTAAATTCTGTTTAATAATAATGCAGCTTTTTAAAATTCTATTCATTCTTGTGTGGATTAGTACATATATTAACATACTCATTTAGATTAAACTGCAGGGGCTGAGGATTTAGCTTAGCGACACAGCGCCTGCCCGGCAAGCCCAAGGTCGTGAGTTCAATCCCGGTACCAGAAAAAAACAAAAACAAAACAAACAAACAAAAAATTAAACTGCATCCTTGTTTATTTAGGGCTTAACAGTATTCTACCTATATATATGAAATCAGTTTTTGTCTTCAAGAGATCTATGATTAGAAGAGAACATTTACATCCATGATTAAATAAATCTAGAATATAAAATATATGGAGAGTATTCATATTGACAATATAGACTAGAACAAATAATAAAATGGCCAACTCAATGTAATCCCGTACTTACACCACACACAGAAAAATAATATTAAGCAGAATACTTTGGCCTTTCTTGGAAGATTAAGTATAATGGAAACCTAGAGAGAGGAGAAAAATATTAGCTGAGATTCATTTTCAAAGTCCTTAAACTCTTTGTTCACACTCTTCTCTATGTTAAGACTTAGCGACATAGTTTGAGACCAGCAATGGCCAGATTAGCAGCCGATTGAAAGTACAATGTGTCTAACCTGGGAGAAGTGAATTTATTTCCCAAAATTACTTCAGACAACATTACATTCTTCATTGACTAAAAATACCAGATGTTTGGGAAACCCATATGGTCTAGAAAATAGCAAAAGGCCAGCAGAAAAGGAAGAGGAGATGTTATAGCCATCGGTATCCATAACCAGTCCTGCCATGAAGTTATGCTCACTCCTGACATCACTTCTTAAATCAAAGGGAATTATGGAAAGCATCAACTTCTTAGCATATATGTAAGGACAGCTCAGTTATCAAACCATGTGCAACTTAAGGAGCAGTAGTGACCTAACCCTCTGCCCCTTTTATTTATTTCTTTTCAGTGGAATGCCCCTACTCATTTCTTAGTTTTAGTTTTTTTCTTGGTTTTTCTGTTAGTATGTTTTATAGTTGTAAATTAGAAGTTGGTAAATGGGCTAAATCCTATCCACTGACTTTTTTTTAGTTTGTAAAATCTGGGAGGTAAGAATAATTTTTATACTTTTTCTCTAAATTAAACAAAAACCTCAGATAAATATGTGACAGAGACCGTATATTGCTTACAAAGCCTAAATTATTGTCAGACTGCAGACAAATACTTAGACCTCTGGTTTACCTGGTGTGCATACATGTATACACATAAATATGTACTTGTTTAGTATAGCAATCTGAACATACTTAATTTCTAGTATAAAAAGTTTAATTTATACTTTATATTACCTTATTTTTGCTAGTTAGAACATTTATTTAGTCTTTCAACTGTTTGCATTTGTAACTAAACATGATGCTTACACTGTTGTGCTTTGTCCAGTCACCTTCAAGTGAGTGTGTAGCTAGGTCTATAGCCATTGATTGGTGGATATTAACTTGGTTTTTGTCCAGGCTTAGTAATATTTATAAATTTTGATTACTGTGACCAGGCACTATTCATCCAGAAACTAGTATAGTGCTTTATGCTTACTAAGCCTCAAATATTTGTCAAAAGTATGCACATATACATGTGTTTCTGTCGTTTCTTGGCCTTTTGGCTAAGATCAAGTGTACATGTGTGTTTGATTCCTTTGTCTTCCAGGACTTCCCGCAGTCACTGCTTATTGCAATTGTTGCTGTAATCTAAATACTTGTTATCACAATCTTATTCCATCAAGCAAAGCAAATCCAAATTTAAATACATCAAATTTGTGATCAGTTGTTGAAATAGCTTCTAATTTGTTTTTAAGTGGATACTTTGGTGAAACACCTCTTCATACACATGGAGTTGAAGTTGTCACATTGTTGGTGATTTAGGCACTGCCTGCAAGGTTGTGGTTTGGGGTCACTCAGCAATAAATCACTCTGACTGTCAACAAGTATTTGGCTCTCAACATCTTAACTGGTCAGATGCTGCCAGAAAGTGGTCTTGCAATCGGGCATAGGCACACATGGTTGCCTCCTTTATGGAGCTTATTAGGAGAGACACGCGAATAAATACCCGCATAAACATATGTATCCATGAATGCAAGGTGAGCTAAATGCTTTGTTTTATTTTGTTTTGTTGGCTTTTTTCCGGTACCGGGAATCAAACTCATGACTTTGATCAAATCCTGGTACCGGGAATCAAACTCAGCACTGTGCTGCTGAGCTAAATCCCCAGCCCCGAGCTAAATGCTTTAAAAGGAGAGAACAAGTTATTGGAGAGAGAATCATGGTATAGAACTATAAATCATGATTATATATATATATGCAAACATGTATATACATATATATAATATTTGTCACCCTAAAATCTTCATTTCTCTAGTGCTATGCTTCTCTAAGTTCAAAATGCATCAAAATCTCAAGAAATTTTTGTTAAACATAGACTTCTGGGTTCTTTCAAATTTTGTTATTTCCTTAGGACTGGGTTAAGCATGAAGATTTACATTTCTTATAATTTCCAAAGTAATTATGATTCTTCCAATCCTGAGAATCTTCAAGAATGGCTGATTTAGGATAGATTTAGCACTTGAATCACTTTGCTGAACTTTCCTGCAGTGCTGATACTTCATTCCTACCCAATGGAAACTCTGATTTTATTATGACTTAACATGGGACTTTTAAAAAACTGCCTAGCAGGTGCTTATGATATGTAGCCAGGGTTGTGACTACCAGACCCCCCACACACATACACACTCACAAAATTTCTTCCTCCTACTTGTATGGAAAATACTTAATCCTTCACAGAAATGAGAAGGCATAGAGGACCTGGGGCAAAGATTGGAAAAGAAAACCTCAGTACAGATACGACATCTCAACTAAGGCTGAAGAACTACATCAACACCATGAAGTGATAAAGGCAGAAGAGTCAAACAGGAGAAATAGTGCACAAACACAGAGGAGTAGGTTTTGTTTCATGAATTATAAGTAGTCCTTGGTGGCGGCCTGACAACGTAGTTGAAATTGAACAATATACATTGAGTGTCTCCTATGTTAGAAACACAGGAATAATTTGTTCGTAATTTACACTATGAACTAAGGATTATGTAGACCACATTAAGCTAACTTTCATTCACTACTTTGTTTTATTTAATAGGATGCGAAGGAGAAACCGAAAGACAAGGAGGTACGGAGTTTTGGACACTAACATAGAAAACATGGAATTGACACCCTTGGAGCAAGATGATGAGGATGATGATAACACTTTGTTTGATGCCAATCATCCTAGAAGGTTAGTGTTTAGGAGTTCCATTGTACGTGTCATGGAGCAAATCTTTGCCAAAAGAATTGAAGTAGACGCTCATGTAACAGGTTTTATAGTGACAGATTTTATTCAGTTTTGTTTGTTTAATGAAATCCTTTGCACTATGCAGTCAATAACTCACATTCATAGTGATGCGCTAGAATAGACACAAACAGTATAATACAGTGAAAAAATTTGATGGTACATTTCATTACAGCTTTAAGTTTTAAATTACTCATTTGTGCAGTACGTATTAACTTGTGTGTGTGTGTGTGTGTGTGTGTGTGTGTGTTTGTGTGTGACAAAGAGAGAGAGAAATATTCCCTAAACTTGATTTTATATTCTAGGATATTTTGTTTTCCATTTGGGTTATTTGATTTTCTGTTAGTGCTTCCTGGCAGAAATGTGTGGTTAATGGCTCATGGTCTGATAGTGCAGTTATAATGTCTGTATCAAATCTCTTCTCTCTGTGTAAGAACTTCAAATTACAAGGACATGGAATTAGTTCTGATGTAAATGGAATGAGTAAAAGGGTCAACAGAATCCTCCCAGTGAAGAAAGATACGCTAAGACAGAGATTTTTAGAGTGAGAGAAAGTGAGACGCCAGATTCAGGTACAAATTCGAGGATTGCAGAAATCTTGTAGTTGAAAAAAGAGACATGACAAAAAATTGGCCTCTTAAATCTTATATATTTAGAAATGAATGAATTCTTAGCATTACTAAAAGACCTTATGTATATTTTTTATTTTACTTTTTAATATGTAGTAGTGCTGCTAATTAATTCATTTAACGGAAACATTCATGCCAGTATATAATAATAGTTTAGAGGCTGGAGAGACAAATGTGAACAAAAATATATCTGTTTATTAAGAATTCATTCTTTTATTAAAACTATCAAAATACTTAAAAGTTTATAACGTTTCCCTTGAAAAGCTGTTGAATTGGCTATAAAGAATTGTACAGTTCTCGGTAGCACTAGTACTGTGGTTGTTGAGTGTTATTTAGGTATGAGGCAGGTGAAGTTGTTGACTTGGATATTTGCATTTGAGCCGTTGTGTATAATAGATACTTGTCTTTATACAGTACGATCAACAAGAGATTTTAATGGGAAATATAGTTGGGAACTAAGGCTTACTAAGGGAATAGCAGATAATTTCCTATAGGACTTTACAAAAGTGCTGATTAAATAGGATGGCAGTAAGGTCACATTTTGTGTTATTACAGTTTTGCAAGATTTTATCGTTATTTTTAAACAAGATGGATACATAATGAAACATCTCTCTATAAGTAGATAGAGAAAAGAGAAACAAAATTATTAGTAATTCAAAATTAACTCCAGTGGGTAGTGGATGTGAACTCTTGTTCATCTATTCAGATATGCTTGATAAATGATGGTTAGAATAAGAAGCAACTGTCCTATATTTAGTAGTCATGAAGAGTAATGCCTCAAAAATAAAGATTGTGAGAATACTATGCACAGTTCTATGGCAGTAGAATTGGTAACCTAGAAAACTGGCTAAATTCCTGAAAATATACATTCTACACATCTGAGTCAAAAAGAAATTAAAAATCTTAAACAGAATAATAACGTGATTGAATTAATTGAATCAATCTCATAATCTCCTCAGCATCTGAGCACCATGATACTTGCCTACAATCTCAGCTACTGGAAAGTCCAGCCTGATCAACATAGTAGCAGTGTAATGAGACCCTACCTCAAAAAAATGATAATAAACTCTTCAATAAATGGAGCCAAGAAACCTGGATATCTATATACAGAAAAATAAAATGGAACCAGTTTTTCATGCCATGTATAAAACTCAGCTCAAAATAAGCAAAAGACTTAAATACATGACTGGATGCTATAAAGCTTTTAGGAGAAAACGCTTGGCGCTGCTTTAGGCAATCACTTTTTAAATATGACCCCCAGATCACAAGCAACAAAACTAAAATACACAGATTATATCAAAGTGAAAAGCTTTCACACAGCCACAGAATTACTGTACAGAGTGAAAAGGCAATTTGTGTAAGAAGAGAGAAAACCACAGCTTGAGTATCCTTTATCCAAGATGCTTAGAATCAAAAGTACTTAGATTTTCAATTTTGGAATGTTTTCCTGAAGGCTTTGAGTTTTAGAGCATGTAGGATTTTCGGTATTCAAATTGGGGATTGATAGGTCTGATGTCCATTTGTTGTCCCCAGCTGTCTGAGTTTCTGAGCTACAAAAACAATCACAGCCCTTTTCTATGTCCTGCGCCCTGACCTGAGCCCAGGAACAATGCCTGTTCTGAGACGCATCTCACCCACCTGCCAAGTCACAATGCCTGTTGCTATCGCCCTGTCCTCAGCCATTCTCAGTCCCCCACCTGAGCCCATAGTGCAGTACCCCTTACCCCACGTATAAAGATCGGCTCTAACTGGACACAAACTCTCCTCTGGAGTTACTCCAGGAGGCCCTGCCCAGCAACCACCTGCAAACACAGAATGGCTGTGTTCTTTACTAGGTCATCACTATTGACCCATATGTATGGTTTAACATTTAAAACATATAGTTAACACTTACAAATCAATAACAAAGAAGAAGAAGAAAAAAAAACACCAGAGAACCTGATTTGTAAGTGGATGGAATGAATATTCTTGGGTACTTGAACCTTGTTTAGGAATATAATTTGATAAAGCCGTTATGGAAAACAGCATGAAAATAGCTCAACATTAAAAATAGAACCTACATTATCTGACAGTTCAATTTCTAGGCATATATCCAAAGGAAATCAGTATACCAAAGAGATGTTTGCACTACTGTAATCCAGGCAGAATTATTCATGTAGCTAAGTTATAGAAATGACCTAATGTCCAATGGATGAATAAATACAGAAAATGTGTAAGGACAATGGACCTAATATGTGTAAATGTGTGAAGAATTAATGGAATATTATTAAGCATGAAAAAAGGAAGAGATCGATAGCTTAGCATGGTGGTTCATGCCTGCAATGTCAGCATTCTGGGAGGCAAATTTGAGTCTAGCCTGAGCAACTTAACTGAGAACTTGTCTCAAATGAAAAATAAAAAAATATATATAGTTCAGTGAGAACAGAGATGGATCCTGAGATTTGTGATGACATAGGTGTACCTTAAGGGTTTTATGCTAAATGAAATAATACATATATAGGAAAACAAATACTGTATAACTTCACTTACATAAAACAACCAAGCTCATAGAAGTAAAGAAGAAAATGGTGGTTCCAGGGGCTACAGGAAGGGGGAAATGGCAGATAATAGTTAATGAACATTTTAGGAATATAGTTTTGGGGGCTGGGGATTTAGCTCAGCGGCAAAAACGCCTGCCTGGCAAGCACAAGGTCGTGAGTTCGGTTCCCGGTACCGGAGAAAAAAACCAAAAAAAAAAAAAAAAATAGGAATATAGTTTAACAGTACTGTGATGTACACATGATATTGTTAAAAGGGCAGATCACCAGAAAAGAAAAAAGCAGGTAACCATGTGAGGTAATAAATATATTCTTTGGCTTTGTGATGACTTCATGTATATTAAAACATTAAGTGGTATGTGAAAAATATATACAATTTTTCCGGCACACTTTGGCAGTGGCGGTGGCAGTGGCTGCGGCTGTGGTGGGGACGCGCGGGAGGGGATGGGAAAAAACACATACAATTTTTATTTGTCAATTAAACCTCAACAAGCATGAGGATAAAAGACCAAGCATGAAACAGTTGTAATCCATGCTACTTATACAACTCATCAATTGCACAACATGTGCTGAAAATTGATTTTGAAAAGTTATGTTTCAGTGTTGTGCCCCATAGATTGGAGCAGACCAGGGTAAGAAGTAAGATGATAGAAGACCAGGGAGATGATGCCAATACATGAGTGACCTTCATTAGTCTAGGGCTTTGAAACTTGTGCTCATGGGGTTTTGTTCTGAGGGCAAAGAAGAGAGAAATGATAACAATGGACATGCAACTTTCGGCATAAGATAATGAAGTCATCATTTTGAAGATTTTAGTAGGCTAAGCCAATTTGTTTCATCAATGAAAAAAACTCAATACATGTGCCTTTATTAAGTAAGAACAGAAAATAGTTAGATGTGTTTACTGATGTGTTCATTTATTCATTCTTCTGGTGAATGAATGATGCGGCCTCCCCTTAAGTTCCAAGCAGTGTTCTGGATGCTTGAGAGACAGAGCAAAAGGCAGAGAAAAAAGAGAGGAGAGGAGAAGAGAGGAGCGGGGGAAGGGAGAAGAAAAGAGAAAAGAGAAGAGAAGAAGAGGAAGAAAAGAAAAGAAAAAAAGAAAGAAAGGAAAGAAAAGAAAAACCTTGACTTTGTAAAATTCAGCTTCTGGGGAGGCAGAGATGAGCTTGGAAGGATGACAGTTCATTTTTATTTTGAACTTTCATTTTACATCGTTGTGCTGTTTTTTCTTCTTCCTCCAAGAGAACACAGTCATCCATCACTTATTTTTAACAGTGGTTTTGTTCGGAGATCAAAGGTTGTTGGGTTGAAGTCCTATCTCTCTTTTCCCCCAGATCTACTTACTGTTTCTGTTCTTACTTTGTTCAATTTGCTTGCTTTTCTGTTTCACTGCGGATACAGAACAGTGTATGTCACTTATTTTATATTTACCTGATGTTCTGATGTTTCCTCGTAATTTCTGTGATGCTTTCTTAGGTGAAATATCCAGTAGATCCTACTGTCTCCTAAGGGTATCATATCTGGAGACAGGATGTCCATCTGTCCTTCATTAGCAGTGGTAATTTTTATGTATCTGTTCAAGATTTGTCCAGTATCTCTGATATGTTCCTGTTGTTTCCCATTTGTAATTAATGGAATACATTTTAAGATCATGAAAATACTCTGTTTCTTGTCAACAATATTTCATATATTTAGTATTCCTATCAGTATTCTGGCCTGATCTAATCTTTCACTGTAATAGTTGCAAAATGAGTTCTGACTGTTCTATTTCCTCAGG